GAGATTGTCTTTCATTTTATGTTGTTAAAGACTAGAAGCTCTGTCTAGAATATCAGGCGTTTTTTCTTTTGGGTAATCTCCAGTCTCCACAAGCTAGGTTCCTGCTGTTGTGGTGTTGGACCTGAGTTACTTTTCAAAGTTCAAATTCAGGAAATTGAAAATTGGAGACAGGTCAATAACTTGAAGGACCAAATTGCATTTTCCCACTAAGCATGACAAGAAGCTGTTGTTGTTGTTTTTTTGTTTCTTTTTTCCTCCCCCCACACCTGCCCCCCCACCAACAACACCCCACCACAAAACACCAATAACATGTTAATGGTCTATTGGTTTATTGGCCATCTCCTAGTGTAAATGGAAACTCAAATGTCTGCAAGTGGTTTCTCGGTTAATATTTATTAAGACCTTTTCTGCATCACATTAACCTTTGACTGTAGAAAAACCGGCTGGTTTGGTCGATTGAACACTTTCTTTTCTCAATTAAGAAGTGAGGATGAGGAATGCATCATTTTTCTCTAGATTTGACACCGAGTTTTCCCACATGTCCTCCTAAATTTAAGACTGGTTATGCTGTCAACGTTGGTTGATGGTAACCTCAAAAAATGTATTTGGTTGATTAGGCTTTGGTGCTTTTTCTTTTTTTCATTAAACAATAAATTGCTTGGTCCCATTTGTAAACCAAGAAACCAACCATGAAAAGCAGTGCATCTCACTACAAAATTAGATCTTTTGTCCATAGAATGGACGAAATGTTCCAACAGATTGTGAACCCAACTCAATGTTAAATAAGAAACAAGTTAGCTTTTTGTAGTATTACTTGTCTTGAATTGTAGTGTCTCTTCTTGAGATCTCTTGTATGTCTGATAGTATAATTTTTTTTTTTCAATCAGTGTAGATTTAATAAAATTATGATGTTTATAAATAAGAAACAAATTAGCTTATGAAAAAATATTTCCTTTTTTTTTTTCTAGTGCGTTACAAGGGGTTAGGCCAGCATAGTGGAAATAATATCCGATCTTTTAGTGATTTGATTTTATTAAACTATATTATGTCAATTGCACCATATTGTATATGCAGGTGCAAAAACAAAACAAAATTTGTCACTTATTCAAAGTTGTTTATCTTAGTTTTATAGAGAAATTTCTTTCTTGTTTATTTCATTCCAATATTTTTTATGTTTCTTTGAAGTTGCTTTAAAATAATTTTTTCGTCTTCCTACTACCTTTATTCTGTTGAACTGTTTTGAATACTTATTTACACATAATCAAATGGCAGATATTCATATAAAAAAATCATTATGATTGCACGCTCCACCTTAAAATTTATTGAAACTTTAATTTTATACATTTGATATATGTAGACATTTTACATGCTTATTGGTAATAAAAAAAAATCTGGATTGTTAAATTAAAAATTAATATTCTTAATCATTGGTAAGATGCTTGAAAATATTCTCTTTTACAATGAAAACATTTTTTCCACTCTTTTTTTTGCTTTTTCAACATACGTTTCTTGAAACTATAAGAAGTATCAAATAAACTTAACAGATCAAAACACTCTTATCCAATGAGTGCATAGAGTGTGGATTTAGCCCATCTCTAAACTTAAACTCGAGACATCAATTGCATGGTGCAATTATTCGAGCAATTGCAGAGAATTATCTTCCCTTTTCAATCTAGCAAATTAATGTATTTGATGATTGATGATGGTTTCTTAGTCAGCTTGATTTGGATATCCAAGATTTCGTGTGAGATTACCTTAGACATGAATTGTACCTTGCTTCCTTCCTTTAATGTTTTGCAACAGAAAATTATACTCCCTTCGTCCCACTTTGACAGTCCTATTTCTTTTTTCACACAGTTTAAGAAAAAGTAGTTAACTTTGTTGGAAAAGTAAATTTAGATTACTATTTTTCTAAAATACCCTCACATTAAATATGGTACAACTTTATGGGAACTTGAATTTATGGTAAAAAAAGAATCAACTCTCATTAAATGGGGTAGGTTTATAGTAACAACTACTTACATTGAATAAGGGTATTTTAGAAAAATTAAAATATAATTATATTTTTCAATTAAAAAGTGAACTATAATCTAGGTTGCTACGTGACACAATCCACCCCGGTTGCTAGTTGGCTTGCATTTATTAATTTTCTCATCCATTAATTATTGTACTGATTGGGTGGCTAAGACTCATTCAAGGCGATTGCGACTTCCAACCACAATTCATGGTGGATTAGAAAATAGTACTATGTTTAGTGCTGAGTAACTGATGACAGTTAAGACAGTCCAATAAACGGTAAAGAAATTTCTTCCAGTTTTTTTGATGGGAAAATCCAGTGAGGTTTTAGGGTTCAAGTAGCCAGGTGACAGTCATGTCATTCTTGAGTATTCCATTGACACCTTAAGTTGTCTATTTTGGGCGAAGGGTACTAATGGAAATCTGTCTTTGACCATTCAATTTCATTAGAAGCACGAGGATGACTACTCGGCCGCTGCTCTTGACTCCAACTCAGAGTAACTGACCAAAATGCCATTTGTATTTTTTTTTTTGGTAGAATTTCTTGTATTAGGTTTCTTGAATTTCAAATGTTGAATTTGCAAGCGTATATTATGGTTTGCATTGTGGCAGGAAGTTATAACATAATAAGTAAATGGAAGAGTATAAAAAGAATGAAATAATACTCCATTCATCCCACTTTAATAGTTTTGTTTTCTTTTTCATCCATCCCAAATTATTAGTTTACATTTCAATTGAAAAATATAGTTAACTTTTAACTTCTTTAAAGTACCTTTATTTTATATACTTTGGTATCAATAAATATAGTTTACTTTATTTAATATAGTCGATTTTTCTACCAATAATTGATTTGATGTATGTTTTGAATGGTGCAATATATCATCATCATTGTTGTTATAAATCAATGAAAAGGTACAGTGATTAGTGATATTTCTAGTATTAATGTAAAGGTATTTTAACAAAATATTAAACTAAATTTAATATTTCATCTTACTATCCAACTCAACCATCCCTTAATTCCATACAACATTTCATCATTTTTGTGGCAAAATAGTAATCTTAAAATCTTTCATTTTTTTTGAACATTAAACACTTATCTTTACATCATTGTGAATAAATTTGCTCCAAATTTATGCCAAAAAGGGTGATTTGATTCTACAGCATACATGAACGAGTCCTAAAGTATGCTAAATGGTAAAACAAAAAGCATAAATTTTGGTTTCTAATGACGAATAAGATAATTACACTATTAAATATATTAAAAGATTTTTTTTCCTACCTAAATACAATACTACTCTACTTAGGGTAGTTTTCCTTTATTTCTTTTACACTAAAATAATTATTGAGTTGCATTTCTCGCTATTGCTACATTATTGCCACCTGATGTGAATTGTGTGCATAAAACAAATAATAAAAAAAAGGGTAAAAAACAAAAAAGCCCCATGTGGTAAAACTAATACACAGAAAAGCTCTCCATGGTTTTAAAATATACAACACGATACCTCATGCTTTGAACTAAATTGTAAAGGTGACGGAATCCGTTAAACTTAACGGAAATGGACGAAATGACCAAAATGCCCTGATATAATTAAACAAAAGACAGCTCAAAAAAATCATTTGTTTTATTCTCTAAATAGAGAGAATTGAGAGTTAAGGGGTAGAATAGGTATATTTGATAAAAATTAGGTATAAAATTTTTTTTTAGCTTCCAATAAGTCATTTCCGTTAAGTTTAACGGATTTCGTCACATTTACAATTGAGTAAAAAACCTAGGGAGCCCTTAAACTATCACCGTTGTCAAGTTTTGGCCCCCGATCTAATTTTTGTCTCCGATAAGCCCCTAAACAATAAAAAATGCATAGTTTAAGTGCTTCCGGTCATTTTATGTGTGAGTCAAGCCGGAATTGTTGCCCCTCTCTGCAACTACGCTGCCGATGATTTCAATACAAGCAAACAGCCCCTGTTGATGCTTGCTAGATGTAGTACAAACCTCTCTAGTGATTCCACAAAAACCCTAAATCCTAAATCCTTGTAATCAGAAGCTTCGATGATATCCGCCTCTTCCAAATTAAGTCAGATTCTGAGCTAGCTCGTATCTTGGCTCGGCAAAATCTTCCAATGGCAGTTTTTGCAGCCACGGCGGGCTTAGCCTTTTCTCTGATGATTATACAGCTCAGAAAGAGTACGGGATTTCTTCAAGGGTGGTTGCCCATCTCTGCTTTGCCTATGATTTCGCCATTGGTTACTAAAAAACCAACAGCCCTTCGAACAGAGCCAGGGAAATATATGTATATATATATATGTACGCAAACACACGTATGCATATCAACATGTGTGTGTGTGTGTGTTTAACAATAACAGGGAAGAAGCCCTCGTTGCGAGTTTTCTTTTTCTTTTTTTCTTTCTTTTTGGCGACGGTGTAATATGAGATGAAGGTGGTGGTGGTGGAGGGATTCGGCATTTATGGAAAAGAGGCGGTGATGATATTTGTTGGGCATTATTTCTGAGCGAATCAAATCGGACATTGGAGCTGGGCAAACTCAGCAGTTGGTCCTGATGTTTCAATTATAGTTGGATGAAATTGCCCTTTAATTCCGGCTTGACTTCAGTATAAAATGACCGGAAGCACTTAAACTATGCATTTTTAATTGTTTAGGGGCTCATCGGAGACAAAAATTAGATCGAGGGCCAAAACTTGACAACGGTAATAGTTTAAGGGCTCCCCAGGTCTTTTACTCTTTACAATTTAGTTCAAAGCATGAGGTGTCGTGTTGTATATTTAGAAATCATAGGGGGCTTTTCTGTGTATTAGGCTTATCACAGGGGGCTTTTTTGTTTTTTACCCTAAAAAAAATTATTGAGGTGAAAATGTGATCTTAGACAAAGGGCAAAGTTGCCACTTTAACTCTGTCGTGTTGACCATGAAACAACTGAGGAAAAGTCTTTGCCGTAGTCAAGAGGGAATTGGGGTTCTGCTTTAATCAACTTGCAGACTCATTCCACAACAAAACTTTCTGCTTCAAGCTTTCAAGTTTCAACCATAATTCTTCAGATGATCTGAGCAAATTCCACTTCTTCTTATATATCTCCTTTTTGTACCCTTCTTGTCTGCACAGAAATTGATGCAAATAAACTTGCAAACTCATTCCACAACAAACTTTCTGCTTCAAGCTTTCAAGTATCAACCACAATTCTTCAGATGATCTGAGCAAATTCCACTTCTTCTTCACCATCATCTTCTTCTTATATATCTCCTTTTTGTACCCTTCTTGTCTGTACAGAAATTGATGCAACCATGAAAACCAAGAAAAGCATCTCCCCTCCGATGCTTCTTTTGCTCTTCTTATACCTTTCTTTAAAGCCCCATCTATCCATTGGAGCTGACACCATTTCTGCTAACCAAACTCTTTCAGGTGATCAGACCCTCGTCTCCAAAGATGGAAACTTTGAACTGGGATTCTTCAAACCAGGTAATTCTTCCAACTTGTACATTGGAATATGGTACAAGAAAGTTAGTGTGCAAACTGTAGTTTGGGTAGCAAACAGAGAAATCCCAGTCAAAGACAAGTATTCTTCAGAGCTCACAATTCAAGATGGAAATTTGGTACTTTTGAATGAATCCAAGATGCCAGTTTGGTTCACAAATGTTACTTCCACTTCTTCAAGATCAAGTCCTGTTATTGCTGTTCTTCTGGACAATGGTAACTTTATTTTGACTCAAGGGTCATCATCAAGTTCATTAAATTTATCAGATCCTAGTTCTATACCATCCCTTTGGGAAAGTTTTGATAATCCTACTCATACATGGTTGCCTGGGGGAAAGCTTTCGTATAATAAAATTACAAGAAAGTTGCAGATTCTTACTTCTTGGAAGAATTCTGAAGATCCTGCACCAGGGCTTTTCTCTCTTGAGCTTGATCGAAGTAATAATCAATATCTAATTAAGTGGAATAGGAGTCAAGAGTATTGGACTAGTGGACCTTGGAATGGGAATATTTTTAGCTTAGTGCCTGAAATGAGGTTGAATTATATATACAATTTTACTTATATTAATAATACTAATGAGACTTACTTCACTTATAGTCTCTACAATCCAGCAATTATATCAAGATTCATAATGGATGTGTCAGGGCAGATTAAGCAACTTTCTTGGTTGGATAATACTAAGGAATGGAATATGTTTTGGGCTCAACCTAGACAACAATGTGAAGTATATGCTTATTGTGGGGCATTTGGTACTTGTAATGAGAATTCATTGCCTTTTTGCAATTGTTTGGATGGTTTCAAGCCTAAGTCTGAGGAGGATTGGGATTTGAATGATTATTCTGGTGGCTGCGAGAGGAAAATGGAGTTGCAATGTCCAAGTAATAGCAGTGGTAAAGTAAAGAAAGATAAGTTTTGGGAGTACCCTCAGATGCAATTACCTACAAATCCTGTGTCTGTGACAGTTGATAGTGCTGGAGAATGTGAGTCTACCTGTCTGAATAATTGTTCTTGTACCGCTTACTCTTTCGATAGCAATGGAAGTTGTTCTAATTGGAATGGGGGTATCTTGGGTCTCGAACAACTTTCAGCTAATGATGGTAGTGGAAGAACAATTAATGTTAGACTTGCTGCTTCTGAGTTTTCAAGTGGGAAGAATACCACAGGGATTGTGATAGGTGCTGTTGTGGGGTCTGTTGTTCTTGTGCTGGTCCTCTTGGGTCTGGTTCTGTTTGTAATCTGGAGAAGTCGAAGTAAAATGGTTGGAAGTGGAAAAGCTGTTGAGGGTTCACTACTGGCATTTAGCTACAGAGACTTGCAGAATGCAACTAAAAATTTCTCTGAGAAGTTGGGTGGAGGTGGTTTTGGTTCTGTTTTTAAGGGGACATTGCCTGATTCAACTGTTGTAGCTGTGAAGAAGCTTGAAAGCATAGGCCAAGGAGAAAAGCAGTTTCGCACAGAAGTTAGCACAATTGGGACAATCCAACATGTTAATCTTGTAAGGCTTCGAGGATTTTGCTCTGAAGGTGATAAGAGATTACTGGTGTATGAATACTTGGAAAATAGGTCTTTGGATTCTCATCTTTTCCGTGACAATGAGTCCATGGTTTTGGACTTCAAAACAAGGTACCAGATTGCTCTAGGAACAGCTAGAGGGTTGGCTTATCTCCATGAAAAGTGTAGGGAAGTCATCATTCACTGCGACATCAAGCCAGAGAACATTCTTCTAGATGCTGAACTCTGTCCAAAAGTAGCAGATTTTGGTCTGGCAAAACTCATGGGGCGTGATTTTAGTCGGGTCCTAACAACTATGAGAGGGACAAGAGGTTATCTTGCACCAGAGTGGATATCAGGAGTAGCCATAACAGCAAAAGCAGATGTTTATAGCTACGGGATGATGCTTTTTGAATTCATATCAGGAACAAGGAACTCAGAGAATTCATTGGATGGAGTGGTGAAGTTCTTTCCCACTTGGGCTGCTAGGGTCATAATTGAAGAAGGTGACATCCTCAGCTTATTAGACCCTAAATTGGAGAGGGTGGCTGATGCAGAAGAGGTGTCAAGACTGTGTAAAGTGGCATGTTGGTGTGTTCAAGATGAAGAAAATCACAGGCCATCTATGGGTCAGGTAGTTCAGATCCTTGAAGGACTCTTGGAGGTAAATCTACCTCCAATACCACGATCTCTCCAAGCGTTTGTGGACAACCAAGAGCATATAGTTTTCTTCACTGAATCATCATCGAACCAGAGTTCAGAAGCGCAAAGCAAGACTTCCAGTACTTCTGCAAATTCCAAGAGCACCATATCATCCAAAGATTCCCCAGTCTAAATAGGAAAGCAATTTAATATTACCAGTCGGATGCTGTATAGTCTGCAATATCAGTTAGTAGGTAGAAACTTTTCAAATTTTTGCAAACCATTTTTGCAGCTAAGCTAAACTTCCTGGTTGTCAAGCACACGAATGATGCAGTTGGCTTGTAATTGCTCAGATGAGATAATATGTAATAATACCCTCCTAAGCATTGTGTCGATCTATATTCTCTATTTGAATTGAAATGTTGTAGCCATTTGAAGGCTAATTCTTTGCTAATTGTCAAAGCATTTAATTTGGATGTTATGTAACTATAAGCTGTTTTGTATGCAGTAAACTTCAAATTCGAGGTACTTGCAAACAACATGTTATGCAAAATTTCAGTCACCAGTTAGCACTTAATATAATGCCTTACCTGGGGTTTATAGATCTTCTGCTTTTCTCTAGGTACATTGATCAATTCAATTGAGTTGATCAGAGTTGCAAATGGTTAGCTCAGAATCCTGTCTTTTATTTAACTAGCTGTCAAAACTCAAAAGCAGTAGTCCTGTTCAACTAAGTATTGATCTTCCATATCCTTTTACTTAATCAAAGTTGTGCAGTGCTACAAAACAAAACTCATGGTAAGTTGCAGAAGTGTCTACCACATCTAATATGACAAGATCACGTAACATCTTACCCAGATGCCTGATATCAAGCACAAATGATGACAAATGGGAGCAAATTCTTGGCAGCCAAGCCTAATTGATGATAAATGGTCTCATTCTTGGGCTAGATCTGTCAATTCTGCGATCAGGGCAGAAACAAACTTGACCTTTAGAGCCCTTTTACTGTTTTAACTCGAGTTTTTCTTTAAGAAATAATCAGGGAAAAAAAATTTCTGATTGTTTGTAAAATTTTAGATATTGTCAAAATCTATTTTTTTTTATCTCTAATTCCTCAAAGTAACATATACTTTTTCGAGGTAAAACAGCAACTGTTCTTTCCCTTTTAGCTTCAGTTATAAGAGCTGATGAAACTTCTGGCCAAGAGCCTTGCTTTGGAAAGTTTGTTCCAGTGGCTAAGCTCTGCTTTTGTCCTAGATTCATGCATTTTTAATATTTTAGGAAAGAATTAATTTTGATGTGCATGCTACATGACCCATGGTCGGTAATTCACCAAAAAAAAAAAAAGAAGCAAAACTGGAATCAATAATGACTTTCTTGTATATTTATTATTTAATTTATTTTTTTGGCAAAAATTATCGCTTATGGATCAATATCAAGAAGATCCCTTTGCTAGCCTTCAACTTAAGATGAACTAATACAATTTTTACATGCCTTATTTTTTTTTTGGCCTTAATGGAACATGAATTTGGATTTCCATGCATGAGTCAGAAAATATTCTATTAGCTGTTGATTCCTATGTTTTCATTTTACCATATGACCAAAAATGGGATTCCATAATCTAATCATCAAATTTTCCACTTAGACTAAGTAGGTTGAAAATAGCCATATTGATATTAGTCCAAATGGACTGAATTATCATCATCATCATGTAACTAGCCGTGGTTTGATGGTTCTGGTGGACAGCACAAGAGCTGTCAGGCTCATAATTAACATTGCCAAATCAACATATTTTAAGGCTAACTTTAATTACACTTTAATGACACAAAAATGTCCTTAACCAAGAAGAGATTGGTTTTGCTGAAGTGGGATGATAAAGGGATTCACATGATGGCTCCTTGGATGTAACTAACCATTTACCAAATGGCAGATTTCTACTGACATACACCTCTAATCCTTTTTGTTGCATTAATACTTTAGCCCACAACCACAATAATCACCTATATTATTGCATGGTTCCAAAGCATCCAATTCTTTCCATTTGGCTCTTTATGATAATGAATTCTTGACTTGTAAATATGAACAATTGCTTAGCATGGAGACAGGCCCCAGTCACTTTAAATAGCCTTTCCATTTGTACCAAAAAGAAAATTGAAATTAGAAAAAATTAATATCTTGTCTAGTGTACATTTGCATTGTATCTGTCTTTTCTGTCTGTTTTTTTTTTTTTTTAAAAATTTTTCTAGTGCTATTTCATTCCTTTGCCTTTCTTTCTCGTTCAACTTAGATAGCCTAGATAGCAAATTCCTGGCCTTGACTTTTGTGAAGAACTCAACTTTGTGCTATTTGTGGGCCTCATACATAATTGTTTAAGCGGCACCTTTATGGCACTGGAATATTTGTGGCTATTTAATTGCCTTTCTTGTTTACTTTGATGGGGAGATGAGATAGATATTCACTAAAGTTTTGGGTAACTGTTGTAGCACTGTATATTCATTTATGGACAACTTTTGATTGAAAAGGTATCAGCATTAAAAATTGTAGTGAATGTGAGCACCATGCTGTCTCGGATCCATTATCCAACAAAAGAGAAGCAAAAGAACTTGAAAAAAAGAAGAAGAAGAAGAACAGATAAGTTTTGTTTTTTGGAGGACAAAAAACAAGGAGAAAGAATAGATAAGGTGGTACTTTGTCCCATGGTGACACATACTTAAGCTCGAAGAAAAATAAAAGGTAATAGGAGTAGTTTGTGGTTTTGTAATCCATGTGTCTATTGCAGTCTCGTCGTAAACTTGTCTATTATCAATTCGAAGAGTTGAAGAGGACAGATTGCAAATACGGTTTGCCTAACGAATGTTCATATAGCACTCGTTATAATATATTTCAGATGTTATATTTTTAAAAAGATAAGATTAATTAGAGAAAGTAAATAAATATAAAATAGGATAGACAAGATTAAATAGAAAAAATATATCAATGCAAGAGAGGATAATAATTGTTAGTATTTGTATGTATATGTGATAGATTAGTTGAATACTAGATGACCTGACCAATACTTGTAAATTGAATTGAGATTGAAAATATATCCTTAATATACAAAATTATTGTATTTTCTATCGTAGTTAATAAATAAATATTATTAGTCGATCAGAATGAAGACAGTAACGTTTACTGCAATTTAAAAAGTAAATAAAAAATGACATTCTTTTAGTCTGGCTAATGGAGTATTAGATTAAATATTTTACTTTCGACATGCACGCAGTCCAAATCATAGTTATTAAATCTGATGCGGTTCGGCGGTTGAACCGGTCAAATTGGTGGACCAACCATGGAATTGGGTTGTTTTAGCAATTGGATCGAAATTACAAATGATTCGCTTTAAATCGTTTGACCCGGATGGTCGAACCTTTAACCCACCAAACCCAGTGGGTTTTGAAAACTTTTCTAAAATTATCTTTTTACCCAATTTTTTAATTTGACTAGCCACACCAACATAGGCATTGTCATTTTTTTGATAATTATATGAGAAAATTTGAAAAGGGATTTGAGAATTAGGGTTTCTCTCTTTCTTTGATACTTAGATATATCGTTTATGTTTATTTATAATATCAATATGAATTCATGAACTAAAGAACACGTATGGGTATGGATTGTGTATATGAACTATTAAATAAAAATAGGTTATAACTTATTAATATTTAAAAATTTTTGTACTTATGTTATAATTTATATATTTATTTAATTATATTATATATTTTTTTATTATATAGTGTGATCCAACGGAACTACTTGACCTCCCAACTCAGTCCTCTTGTCGAGTTGATGCCCTTATGCCCGATTTGATTTTAATAACTATGGTACAAACCACCCAAAAATAAGATAACCATTCCATTAACTACTTTCAAATGCCTACTCAATTACAAGCTTCTAGTAAGTATCAATCATCATTCCTATTACAAGGATCAATTTAATGTAAGACAAGGAGAACATTACCATATTTCTTTGATGCACTCCTCCCAAAATTGTCAACATGGAAATGGAAAAGAGAGATTGCTAAGTGCTTTCAATGACAGGGGACGACATCAAAGTATTTACACATTCATACACGCAAAAAGTTAATTTTCCTTTCACGTCAAAAATTTAATGCTTTCTGCTGCAGTGGCTTCCTCTCAAGCAAGCCTTCCATTATGATTTTCTTCTTATATTCCCTAGATTTAGGTGGCTCTATCTCCGGCAACTTCCCGGCCTTATTTTCCGGCAGCCTTTGTTCCATCCCACTTCTCCGGCGAGGAATAGAGTACAGCCACAATGAGGCCAAAGGGATTGCAAAAATCTTGCCCCATAAGATGGTAGCTAATAGGGACAAAACCATCCAATAAAAAACTAAGCCTTTATCTTTACCACCATCTGAAGAGGAGAAATCCAATGTTTTGTCATTTGGCTTAGAAGTCTTTGCTCTTTTCTTCTGATCAAATGAATTGGACCTTGATCTTGCTAAGGCCCTTTTCATGGATAGTGATCTGAAGTCTGTTGATGATTGATTAGATGATGAGCTTACCGTACTTGAAGAAGAAAAAGAAGATGATGAAGAAATTCTTGAAATAATTTCGTTTTCTTCAGAAATATTAGCCTCTTTCACTTTCTTGAATTTCACTCGTTTATCATCATCCACTTTCACCGAAGGACTAATGCTTTCTTCTACATGATCATCAGTCTTTTCTGGGGGTGTCAGTTGACGAATTTTTCCATTTTGGACCCTCATTCTCTGCAGAAAATAAAAAAAAACCCTGCTCACAAAAATATTGGAAAGAAAAACAGAATGGCTAGAAAATTTTTTCTTTGTATAAACTTACAGGTGAGGTTTCATATAAGATGGATTTGAGAACTCCTGGGAGGGTTTTTCTTGAGTGTGTTTTAGGGAGAGGAAAGCAAGGAACTCGAAGATTTCCACCATTACCATCCAAGGTTGAAGGGCTCATTACTTGTGGGATCATTCTATTTTTCTTCTTCTGTGCTTTTGCAACGATGATAGCCTTAGAAACCGCAACATCATCGATAACACTGTTGTGATCATGATCATCAGGATCAGGTTCTTCTGTTTCGAGTACAACAGGTCGAAAACATAGGGCAAACTTGTTCTTCATTGTTTTGCTCCTCCAAAAAGTCTTTATTATCCAAAGTGATAAAGCAGTTTGAGAGTGAAAAACTGAGGAAGGAATGTAACTTTTTGGTCGGTGAAAAGGTTCGGCTAAGAAGTTGGATTGTGTTAATGCAAATTTATATCAAAATAAGAGCCATGAGAAAGAAAGTCTATATTTTATTTGGTATCGATTAGAGCTTAGTTTAGGAAGCATAGGCCGGCAGCGCCAATGTGCCATTGTTTCAATTTCTTCGTCAGGACAATGAACTAACGAGAAGGGAATTTGGAGAGTACAAAAGGTTCGTAGTAGAGACTACTAGTTAACCACCAGCCTTTGGACGGGTGGCTACCACCAATGCATTAGTCTCATCAATTTATCACAATTAAATGTGACATTTCTTAAAAGGTCCACGTGGGTGCATAATATACATGTCTAATCCGGTGGTGATTCAGTTTTCTCCGAATTATCTCAAGATCTCTTCAGATCCTCCCCTCTCCCTAGTGTAGGAAATTATCCTATCGACAAAAAAAAAAAAATAGTACAGGCTACTAGTTTAATTAAGACAAGGTCAATCGGGCAGAAAAGTTGATACTTGATTAGATGGTTCTGTATTGCTGTGTAATGCGTTTGCAAGAACAATATTACATCTTCGATTTGGTCAATGTTTGTGTGTGCATCTAATTATTTTTTTTTTACTATTTTATCTTTTGCTCTATATGGTGTTCCTAGTTTTGTTTGTCATTTTGTATGGAAAGAAATGATCCCAATCCAAATACTATAAAAAGTAGAATATGCCGTTCATTCCATTGTTTTTGACAATTTCTTGAATTTTGTCTCTCATAATAGAATACTGGTTTTGCGTTATTAACCCTTTCTAGGTCTTCACAGGCGAAGTTATCTATCCTTATTATATCAAAATTACTTTCAAATTTCACTCACAAACATGTTTACATATAAGATGGGACAAAGACCAGTGAAAACAAATCAGAGACGGTGACGACCAATTTTTACACAACCTTTATGTCTCTTACATAGCCCAACTAGATTTAATTCTTCCAATTTTATGCACGCTCTGACATAAAACCGCCCAAATGCGCCATTGTGTACATATCTTCCCATTTTAGTAGTCTTTCTCTAGCATTTGAATTTTTTTTAGTAAATTTTATATACACTGACAGTATATACATTATCAAGATTGAATACATAACACATGAGCAAAATTTGAATTTTAAATTTAAATTAAAATAAGTTGTTATGTATTCAATGGTGATGGTTAGGGGTGAGCAAACGATGCATATTCGGTAATTCGGTTATATGAATTCGGTAAATTCGGTTATTGGACTTACAGAAATCTAAACCGCTTTCAAATCCGAATTGGAGATACCCAAATTCATTCAATTCCGAATTTGAATTCAGAAACGGTAATGAATTCGGGTTAACCGAATTCATCTTAAAAAAAAATTTGCTGAATCCTTTAATTGTAGTTTCCGACCTAATTAAAATAATAAGTATTATAGTTATACTTAAATATAGTTATGTATTATACCTATACTTATTAATTATTATCTAATTCTAGTCATCATGTATAAAATAATAAGTATAATAGTTATGTTATGTATTGTTGTATATTTGTATTATTATAGTCATATAACAATTAACAAATACTAGAATAGTATATTGTACATTATTATATATTATTATTATCATAAGTACATGATAATACCATATACTAACTATTATTAATAGCATTTACCTATATAATATAATAATATATTAGTAGTATATACTAATACTAAACCAATTTTTTATAAACGAATTCGAAATCGGTTATTACCAAATTCATAATCTCATTACCTATTTCATATCATATTAGAATTCGGTGAATTCGATAAATACCACTTTTGTACCAAATTACCAAATACCCGATTTCAAATTACCAAATTGAATTTGAATTCGGGTATGAATTCGATACATACCGAATTTGCTCACCCCTAGATGGTGTATACACTGTCTGTGTAAAAAATTAATCTTTTTTATTTTGGATATTTAGCATTTGAACTTCGATTTATTTATGGTGCACGGATAATTAGCCAAATGCCATCATTAAACAACAAATATAGGATTATCCCACTAAACTCATCCACAATGAGAAGAAACATGTATGCTTATCGTTTCTTTGTAGTCTAGGAATTTGAAATTTGTACAAGATGACAATATGACATGCTCAGAAAGAACAATAATATACCTATCAGTTTTCAAGAATTCTAAATGGATCTTTTTCCACTAACAATAGGAAACTTACGTGCTATAATATAATTAGTGGTCTAGAATTAACAACTTTGAAGTTTTTGACAAATATGCATATCAATTTCAACAATTCTAAATGGATCTTTCTCCACTAACAATAGGAAACTTATGTACTATAATATCATTAGTGTCTCAAAGAAGGTCCACGGAGAATCCAGAGTGACACCTTTTTTTTTTTTTTAACAATCGAAATTCACATGCATAAATAGTGCTATTGTTTGAAGTCCCCCTCATTCTCATTTTTTAAATGTCTACCACAAATCCTATCCATTGAAAAGTTTTATTTGATTTCTCCAAAAAAAAAAAAGTTTTATTTGAGGATGTCTCAACATTTTCTTCCTCTTATTAATTGCCCCTTGTTTTAATTTCACATAGAGATGGGACCGTAATTTATAAGTGCCAAATAGTCTACCAACCTAACTCCTTGGGGAATTAATTTCTGGATAATGACCTATTGGCAATTTATGTATCTACCAGTCAGTTGAAGTCATGTCACCCAAATCTCCAAAGATGATTTCTTGATAACCTATTAGAATGCTATTGTTTGTATTTTAGTGATCTAAGTCAATCGCAATAATATGTTAGTGTTTCTTTTTTCTTCTCTTTTTTTTTTAAATTTTCCCAATCTGGATGTATAACTTACCAAAAGATTTCAAGTATCAACTACCAGTCTAACACAATACATCATGATTGTTTTCATAGGAAAAATCTTTAAAATGGAATCTGGCAGTTTTGGGCTTTTCATGCCTCCTGGATGCCATTTATCTTGACTTACAAAAACTTTTACGAGATTGAGTCTTCAAGCCTTAAAAATCCCAGGAGCCAGGATTTGCTGCATGGAAATGATCAAGACTTACATTGAAAAAGTCAACAATAATATGTACTATATGTGAAAATTGTTAAAATATCTCTTAAATGTTACCCTATAACATTTTAAAATATCCAACAAGAAGTATCCAAGTTAAATGAGATTGCTAGTAGTCCAACAGTTTGAATGATATAAGGAAAAGGCATTTGATTCATATGTACCACAAATTCTCCTCTAAATATTCAATGATCTTTAAGTGGTGGGCATATATTTTCTGTAGCTAATCCATTTTGATTCAGATGGTCCCTCTCCATTTTCTGATATTCCGATACTCGCCCCTAGGAAACAAAGTACTACCTAGTTCCTTGCCATTTCTAGAGAAAACCAGCAACAAGACCAATGCTGATTAAACTGTGGGTGCTGTCCTATTTTTGTATCACATTCATATCTGCTAATAGAATAATTTTTACTTCATTGATCTTGTACCCACTTAAAACAGTTTTTTCAAGAAACCATACGAATACAGTGGATATGGTAAATTAAAAGCACCAACTAAAATGTCATTGAGGACTTGGTTTAGCATTGAGATAATCAACGAATGAAGCATAAAAAATTAGAAGTTTAAGTCTAGCAATTGTAAAGTTAATCCAATTCTCCCGTGATTTATCCCATTATTTACGAGTTCATTGTAACAGTTCGAGTTTGTAAAATTGAAGTGGATAAACTTAAAAAAAAAAAAAAAAACAAAGGACTTTTCTGACGGTTCAATAATGTATCTAAAATCACATCTAACTCATTACATGAATACACGCTGGGACACATCTCTTGTATGTAAAAGTTTTTAAAATTATTTTTTACTTTTGTTAAAAAATTAATGCATAAGACCTTCTTAATGAGTGCTACTTGGGCAACTGTTAGCCAAAACCCAAAAAAACAAGAGTACTACAAACAAACATATAGCAATTCTCCTACTTCGATTGTTTTGCAATTGCGTAGGAAGATTGGCTTGATCAATATGCTTTTTATAGGTACTCTGAATCATTTTTACATGTGTTTACTTGGGCAATTACTGGACCCCTCTGCTTGCTGGTATTGTGGTGCATCATGCAAGTGAGAGGTTTGGGAACTTACAGAGTATCTGTTTTTTGCCAGCATTGACTCACTAAGGATTTACTACTATTAGACGTCTCGTATCTCTTCATTTTTTGGGGTTAATCTTCTCCACCTTCCATGTCTAGAGTAATTGCTAGTTTTGCTTCTTTCGTGTATTGGAGAGTGTTTTCAAAATTGGCATTTCTTGGTAATGAATTTGAAGCAGAACATAGAGGGGTTAAACAATAATGAATGAGGTGCTGAGAAGCTTCTCTATTTAATCTTATTGGATCCGTTGGTCAAAAAACACACATTCAGTTTTTGGACTATCAACCTAAAAAAACCAAACACAAGATTACCAGTAAGCATTAAAAAACTTAACAATAAGAGAAAAAGGACAAAATGCAATAACAGTCAAATCTGATCATTAATTTTTCCAATAATAGATGGATACTGTAAAAAGTAGTAGCAAGGGCATACTGGAGTTTAGAAATGGCTGAATTGATCTCAGTGCACCAGGTGATGCTGGAATTGTCTTCACAGTCCACCCCCATGAAATAGGGACCAGTGAGGCTCTGTTTCTTCAAGACTCATCTCTTCATTTTCCACTGAAATTGTTACTGCTGTACTGAAATCAATTGGCAGCACAAAAATAGAGAATTTCAGGGCATCATCTGTAGTTTTATAGCTTTTTTACCATAACTAAGAGTGTGAAAATTGGTCCCCCTGAATAACTCCATCATATACCAGACTAATTTCTTTCTCTGGCGGATAATTTATATTTATACCTCAAGTATTAGTGCAAACAGTTAGGGCACCAACTTACAGCAAAAATTTTTGAAAAGACAGTAGTAATTAGTAAACTAGCATCAATGAAGCCATGTTACAATTTTCAGATCCTGCCACAGCTAATTCTACAATATGTGCTCTGAGCCCTCAGTCAGGCAACGTGGTCAAGTATGATCTCCTATCTATTAAATGACTTCAAGAAATCATCTGAAAGCAAGCTATAATGAACAGAATTAGAAGCCTTTAACAAGGCCAACAACGGAAATTTTCCAGAGCTTCAGAGCGCATATATTCACTGACCAAGAAATAATTACCTCAAGCCACGTCATAGCTGATAAAAACTTACGTTGAGATGCTCAAACCTTCTAAACTCTGCATTTTCTCAGCAAAGGTGATATTTCTTTAGCACAGACAGGAGCAAAATCAGTTCACAACAGAAGGGAGAAATTACATTCGAAGAGGAGAATTATGTATGACTCAGGCATTTCCTATGTCAAAGGGTCGAATTCTCTTCCTTGGCTCCGAGGAGTTCAACAGCTGTCCTCTTTTAGGCTCATCAGGATGAATTTTTAATACTTTAGAATTTTAGTGAAACAATGATTGATCATAAAGCAACGCAGGGTTCCAGGCAGGCCAAAGACTGTTCAAATAAATGCAAAATGCAGTAGACAGCCATATGGATCTATTTGGTTTTATTTGCCTTTAGTATTTTCTCGTTGTATGATAATCATGTCTCAATTTAGACACGAATTCAAGGTCAAGTGATAATTAAAAAGACAAACACTAAGGAAAGGGATGTAAAACTATCTCATAACCATCATAATTGAAAGTACTCACGCCTGCAACAAGCATATATTCAACCCAAAGTAACACATCTGTTTATGGTGAAGTGTACTCTTCAGCATAGGGGCTTTACTTACAGCTTTTCTGCAAGGAAGCACATTCACATTCGAAAATTACAACGTAGAACTCTTAAGGATGACACATGTTACACTTATCCAGGAGAGAAATGTGTTGCATCCAGTGCAGTAAACCAGTAAGAGGCAATGCAATCTAACTAAATCCAAAATTTTGCTTTATCTGATTTTTACACAATTATCAAATCTTCCAGACTTACTGTAGCTATAATGCCACAAGCTAAAGGTAAAAGCATATCAAAACCCAAGAACATCCAGTTTTCACCTGCATCCAGTGGGAGAAGTAAAGACTGCAGAAAAAGCTGATTTTTATCAGTTAATCAAGCAGCAAACATCCTTCAGGTTGGTGGTATTGCTCCACTGAAGGATCGTTGGTTTCCAGAGAAGAAAAGAGCTGCAAAGACTGCAATGGTCCACAGCAAGAAGCTCAGAACAACAAGATTGGCTTTTTTGGCCATGAGTTCATTGAAGCTGTCCTTCTCCTCAGGCAACTGAATGAACTCTTCAACAACGAGATTAACCAAAGCATCCAAAACCTTCTTAGTTTTCAAGTTCGTGCCTCTTGACTTTATAGCTCTGTTAAGAAGTTTCACTACTAGCTCTGCCTCAACACTAGTTAAGCTCCCTGTTTCTGAATTCATAGTTGTAGATGGATCAGTTGTGTCTGTAGCTTCTTCGTGCTCATCAGACATGGTTATTGATGACAGAGGGGAGAGATCAGATGAAGCAACAGTGGCCAATGCAAGTGAAGTGTCTGGACTCAATAAATCAATTCCATTCTGTACCAGAAAAACATTTTAAATCAGCTCAATAATTCTAAACTCGTAAAACTCTTCCATCAGCAATTATGCAAGCTCTAACTAACAAGTAAACATTCTCTCAGGTCTCCTAAAACACGCTAGCCATCAAAAGCCCCATGCAGTAGAATCAAATAACAATACACGAATCTAAGGGGGGAAAATTAGTCACAGAAATGCTGTTTTAAAGAAAATTTGCATCATGAAAAATTGAAAAGCATCCAAAGTGTTTGAACTCCAAACTACTCAAATGGTTATAACAGCAAATCACAAGTATTTAATCACCAAAAATTCCCTCTGAAAGCAGCAGAAATAACATCACTTTTCGAGGAGACAGATCAAGCAGAAAAAATAAAATAAACAAGAAACAAAAAATAAAGAGAAACAGAATACAAAGATACAGAGATTCCGAATCAGCGGTTCTCGGCAAAACTTGATCCCCAGGCTCTAATGAATACTGATAGAGCTTTTCATTTGAAAAATTAACAATAAACTGATATTACATTTGCAATTAGAAATATATAAGTACATAATTGTATAAACAATCCAACAAAGTATTGTCAGAATTTTCCTCTCAGAGTCCATAAATATCTCCCTTCCAATCGCCAAGATGATGAGCAAAAGAAAAGTAAACAATACAAGCGACAATGATTGTCAAGCAGAATCAAAACATTTTTATTCTTTTCTTTTTCCCTTCTCTGCTGTTTTACATTCATCAAATCACTTTGCAGTCAGAGACACAATCAATTGTGAAATCAACATTTACCACTTGAAAGCTCAAAACGAAATGTAGCTAGAAAAAGCAAGATTTTCGAACAACCTCAGCTGATTCACTGAGAAGATTCTCGTCCGACTTCTCCATGATCGAAGCGAAATCGTTCCAGTCCTTTGGTGATTCAGAAAAGAAACCCAAACTTTCGGAACTTGAGCTCTTTTTCTCATTCTGCAAGGAAATTGAATAACAACTGAAAGAATTCCAAAACTAAAAGCGACAATCCAATCCGATGAATGGAGATTGATCGAGAGAGAGAGAGAGAGAGAAATTTAAGTTTTACATTAGCAATTTTAACCTGCCGTACCTTGAAACGGCGATCGGAGATCGATTTTCGGCGATCTGCAACCGGCTGATTTTTCTGATGCGTCATCTCTGCGTGTTTTTGTGTGAGACTGTGTGTAAGAGGAAGGAGTTGGTGGCGGTAAGGATTGAATTTGAACTGATGGAAAGGAAATTTATAGGCGAACGGAGGTGGTGTGGGCTCCATTGGGCCCAGATTGACACAGGCCCAATAGAAGTTTTGTTTTGCATTAGTTACACTAAAAGGCCCAGAACTAGGCACTACATCTCACTTTAAATTTGTTTGTCAAAAATTAAGACAAAAGAACCATCAAATAAAGAGGAGTAGTCCAATAGCAATTGGAGAGCATGCAACTTCACACATCCCCTAGCCATTTATTCTTTTTGGTGACAACACTCTAATTGCTACAGTACATACATCAAATTTTTACAGTACATTTTTTTATAAAAATTCAAGAAAATTGCAATTCAAATGGGACCTAAATTTTCATTAATTATTTATCAAGTATTGTAAAAATTCAATACATAATCAATTTGTGTGGTAAATTAAAGCACCAAATTTCCAAGTGCTCAGTATCTTGGCCTATGCATGTGTATATCCAAGCTAATGTTATTGAAGTTATTAGGACAGTGAAATGTGGTCTAGTTGGAAAAATATTTCACCTATAATCAAGAGATTATAGGTTTGATTTATCAAGAGGGTAAGTGAAAAACTACTATTGATCCTGTTTAAAGAAAAAAGTTATTAGGAAAATTTGAGAAATTGGAAAAAAAAACACTAGAAATGCTAAATGACAAATATATTGATTTTTTTGAAAGGGTATTTTACATTGTTTTTTCCAAATTAAAAGAATATTTTTATACTCAACTATCTGCAATGGTGTTGTTCCTCGTACAATTGAACTTAATCTTTGACTATCTTTGATCCTTGTGTTATGAGGTTATTTGCATTCTGACCATTAACAGTGCTCCTTCCCAATATTTACTTTCCATCTAGTCGCTCCTAAAGTGCTAAAATAAAGACTCAAGGAAGGAAAAAAAAACCCTATTAAGAAATTCTGAAGAAAAAAATAAAAGGAACCTTGTACAATAATTTGTAGACTATCCCTTTTTAAGTATTATAAAATAGTAAACAGAAATCTAGTAGAAATTTCTGAAATCAAGATCACCTTGCATTCAAGTAACAAGAAGCCAAAAAAAAAAAAAGGATTGAAATGAACATTTAATACTACAAGAGGGGGGCGTTTTTACTTACAAACTATGAATAAACGAGCAAGTTACTATTGATCTCATTATATAGCTTGTCGAACCAATTCAATTCATCCTTGTTTAACGAGCATCAATTATTAAAATTTGTGGTATATAATTTCTGGCAATCTATTGATCCTGGAAGCACATGAGCCTATGAGGAAAGACCCTGAAATCTTCTATTCATCTCAGATCGGAGCAAGATGGTGTGGCCAAATGCTTGTGAAACAGTAGTATCATGAATTAGAAAGAATTGATGAGTGGTTTCATTCATGATAGAAAATCATAATAGAAGTCGGTCTAATGTCATTTTACATAGCCAAGATACGCACTTCACGCGGGCGGCTATTCTGAATTCTCGGACTCGGTGGCACTTGTCAGCATGGTCAGAAAATTCAACCTTTGAATTTTCTTTGAGATATATTAGAAGTCATTTTCTCATAAATAAAGTTTGCCTTTTCAAAGCTGAGGGAAGGTTGCTTATAAATGAGTTAACATACAGGTTAAAACCTTAGCCTTTCTTAAGCAAAGTGTGTATATTTTAAAGCCTTGTATACTTTGATTGAGATTGTTGTCCAAAAACGAAAACAGAAGAAGTTCTCTTGCCTTGAGAGGTGTGTTAGTAAGATGAAACAAACTCATAAATCTGCTTTTTAACAAACAAAATAGAAAGAACCCTAATTCTAATTCTGTGAGTTAATTGTTTCCGCATAATGATTTCATTCTTTTTTTTTTCCATATTTTGAAAACAATAAGAGTAAATCTTATATACACTGTCGGTGTATACACTATTACGATCAGATGAATGACATACGAGCAAATTTTAAATTTGAAATTCAAATTTTACACATGTATTATATATCTAACGGTGATAGCATATACAAGATTAATCCAAACAATAATACGATAATTCTATAATATGGTACGATGTTCCATCTTATATTTGATAGCCATAAGAAGAACAGTAATAATATGTAACGTGTACGATGTAACTATCTTATCTTTGACATGGACTAGTGAAACTTGACGATTGTCCGTATTTTCATTTTCCATTCCCACACTCAAGATATGGAGAGGATGTCTCTATAGATATGACGGGTTACGTAAGAACTAACGACTTATGGAGAGGATGTCTCTATAGATATGACGGGTTACGTAAGAACTAACGACTCAATCATCGTTTTGGCTAGAAACATATAGGATGTCTTTTCTTTGCCTTCTGCCTTCTGCCTGTGTATATGACGGCTGCCAATGTATAGAAAAGAGATGTTAAATGTTTTTCTTTTATCAACAGTTATTATCGCACTTCGACTACTAAGTAGTAACTCACAAAACCACGAAATTATTTTAGATAAGAAGTGACAACTCAAACTCGATGATGTTTTCGGCCGGAAACTTTTTCTTGTACTTGTTCTTCTCTTCTCTTGTCTTTGCTTACCGCCCGACTTGTTGATGTAATGGATGCACAAGTACATAATAATGCAGATGTTTGTATTATACAAATTTCACTGAGAAGGTGGAGATGAAAATGACAATCTTGAGACGTGTTTGGTACTACTCTTACAACTTTTTGGCTTCCAGAAAGAATATATGATCGGATTCACCGCCACAGTCATGAAGCCGTTCCCAGATTTCTATAATGTCTTACCATTCTGTCTTCTTATTTTCCTAGTTCATAGTTGTTCCAATTGGACTATTTGGTTATTCCTTCGGAAGCCAATTGATGGGGGCATGCCAACACTTGGATGGACCTGGTCTACGACGCCACACATGGACCCAGTGGTGCATAAGTTTCCACATCATCCTTGTATAATTTTTTGGGATAATTTCAGAAACCTCTCCTGGGGTTTCTGACAATTGCAAAGACCTCCTCTCAAGTATATTAAATTACACTTACCTCCCTTGCTTTTACTATTTATATAATAATATAGGCCCAAAAATCCTAAACTACCCTTTTTGTACAAAACTAAAACAAAAATTATTTTGCCAATTGCTTTCTTTCATATTTCAACCAAACTCACTGTACTAACAAACTAGCCTAACAACTAGTCTAATTCCAAATTCTAAACCCAAGCAATTCCATCATCATAGTCATAAAATTGCTTCACCCAAAGCATGCGTTCAATTCTGAAGTTTCATTCCATTCTTCAAAAATATTCTCACCATATGGTTCTATGAAACGGTCAAACTCACAATCAACTACCCTTATGTTTGCATAATCTTCAACATAGGATGCCATGGTTTGTTTCCATATAAGTGGCTTAACTCCTACTACATCAGCTACATTATGACCTTGACAAAAATCCTTGGGGGAGATTTAGGCATGGATGAGATTAATCAAGTTTAAGAAAAGGAAATGCTTCATTATGACTATAGAGATCTTCAAGAAATTCATTTTGCCAAAAATCAAAATTCTATTTATAACTAATCACACCCCAAATTTCAAACCTAATGTCCACACCTTCTCAAAACAAAATAATTTAACCTACCATTAAATCTTCAAACATGTTAACGTCTTAAATACAGATAAAAAACTCTATCTCCGTAGCTAAACCACAACCAACAATTATCAAGCATAAAAAGAAATATAAATGTATTTATTAACATCTTAAAAAGTTTTTTGGATAGATGATAGACAAATTAGCAAATTTACCAATTTCAGTCCATCTTCTTCTTTTAGCCAATGATTGCATTATTTGTTCCATTATTATTGTGTGCCTCTTCATCTCCCTTTAATTTGACCATGAAATCGAATCTAATCCTTCAATTAAACTTACGATTTTGCAATTCCAAAGAGAAGAAAGGAGGAATAGAAATATATAATAAAGTTTGAGGAGTCACTTGTAGTATGATTGGCTGCAATTATAGGCAATAGTTGGTGATAATTTGAGAGCGAGTTATAGGAGAAAGCGGTTGATGGATGAGAATCGAATAATAGCAAATGAGAGAGAATCGTTGTTAGCTGTAACTTATAAATAAAATGGTCGAAGAGGTCAGGTTTCTTTTTCCTTTTTTTCTTAATTTCATTTCATTATACTATAAATTATTTAATAAGTGAAGGTCATTATAGTCATTTTATTGTGATAAGGGAGGTTATTGTAATTTGTAAAACTTGAGGGGAGCCGAGTGAAATTGTCATAAACCTCAAGGGAGGTTTGTGAAATTATCCCTAATTTTTTATATCCAAAATGCTGTGTAACCCAAACGAACCTTACCCTGGTTAGACAAAAAATGGCGTAAAATGAAGTTTCAGGTGGTCGTCAAAATTCAGAATTCGACATCCAGAGTTGCTCAAACCTCTCTAAAGCTCCAACATCGATTCTGCATAGGACGTTTCAGTCGTTAATCTGTCTCCAAAATAGTATTACTTTTTGTATAAATCAGTTCCGTGCTTTGAAGGGTTCATCTTCAATTAGTTAGTTTGCAGTATATACCGAATATGTTCTTCTGCTTTTCTTCTTCTTCTTCGTCTTTTTTTTTTTTCCTTTTTTCTGTTGGACTTTTGACGGATAGATTTTCTGCAATTCAAGAAGCTCCTAAAATCACTGTTTAAGAAAAGGTAAAACTTTTCCATACTCTTAACTTCATGCCATCTTCTCTCTCCAATCAAAACTGAAAACAGGATTTTGGTTTTAAGTTAGACAATTTTGTTTCAAATACTATGAACTTTTGAAGCATCCTCCCACCAGCAACTAACCATAAATAGATTCATCTTCCTCTTCATTTCCTTCAAGAAACATAAAACTTACAGGGTGGTTTTTAAAGATTTAGAATCGAATTGAGGAGTAATAGGCTTTGTTTGTGTTTGAGTATTTCTTTAACTCTCCATTTGTCTTT